GTGGAGACAGTGATGTCATTACTAGGCCCAACAGAAACATGGATGTGTCTTCCAGGTGGAGATAGTGATGTCATTACTAGGCCCAACAGAAACATGGATGTGTCTTCCAGGTGGAGATAGTGATGTCATTACTAGGCCCAACAGAAACATGGATGTGTCTTCCAGGTGGAGATAGTGATGTCCCTGCTGGGCCTGGTGTGCCCGCCCCTCTTTGAGACAATCGCCGAGCTGGAGGACTATCATCCCCGCATCGCCCTCAAATGGCAGCTGGGTCGCATCTTCGCACTCTTCCTGGGAAACCTCTACACCTTCCTATTTGCCTTGTTTGATGAAGTCAATGCAAAGGTTTGCCATGTTCTATCACAGGGGGACTTTTGTACAATAAAGTTGAGTACAGTGTTACACTTATAAGGTGATAAAGTTATTAGATGAGTTATTAGATACTAGAACCACTCAAGGTGCCTCTTTCCTTGGGTGCTATGCATCCTAGATAAGTTCCATACTGATCTCTGGAAAACAAGATGGGACATACAAAAAAAAGCAAAGAATACCTTTGTGCCTGTATGAATGGCAAATGATCATCATCATCCTCATCAACATGACCCTGATATGCACTTATAGAAGATGGCTGGATGTCTAAACATTTTTCTTCCTGTCTGACAGCTGGAAGAGGAGGACTCCATTAAAAATGCCACCATCTGGGCAATGAAGGAGTACTATGCTAATTTCACAGCCTACAACAACGACAGCAGTGCAACCGCTCCTCCCATCAATCCTGCTGATATCATCCGAGGGCCTTGCTGGGAGACCACTGTGGGCATTGTAAGCTGGTCCCCACTGAATCCACAATAATCCGCATGAATGACTGCACTAGGAAACCACTGTAATAGGCAGAATGCCTGAAAAATGTAGAAAAAGGCAGCTTTAGTTATTGTTTCTAGTAAGCAGTCTGCCAGTCTTTGGTACACTGGGAAACATTATCAATGCACATTTACCAATTCACACTGCTTGCAGTCATTGGAGTTTTACAAATATAGTATATATGCTCCCATTAAATGCAAATATGTATTATAGTAGGGAAACAATTCTAAACACTTTAAAATCCAGTTGTTCTTTTTCAGGAATTTGTTAAACTCACTGTTTCGGACATCCAAGTGACGTATCTTACCATCCTGATTGGTGACTTCCTGCGTGCTGTGATTGTGAGATTTCTGAACTACTGCTGGTGCTGGGACCTGGAGGCGGGCTTTGTGAGTATGAAAGATCAAGGCTGTCATTTGTAGGAAGTAGCTGGAGTTTCGGTGATTGTACTGAAGGATGCAAAACACAATGATGTACCCCATTGATGTGGAACATTAATAAAATTATATGCTTTAGAAAATGTTTTATTGCCTTGCATACATTCCAAACTAGTAATTTAAATTGTTGTCTGATTCACTTATATGAATACAGCTTATGTATTTTAAAAGTCGGGATAATTCAGTTTGTGTTAGACAAACCTTTTCTAAAGGTCCTTAATGGCTCTGTGAAGAAGCGAGTAGGCAAACTCAAAGTCATGGACAAATACAATAATTAACAGATCAGCCAAGCTGAAGAACATCAAATACTACAGGGAACAGGCGAAGAATCAGAATTAAGAGTTAGAACAGAATCCAGTGTGGACGGCTACGCTTTGACTCGAGAACTCTGGAAGGCAAAGATTGAGCGCAGTCACTAGTTTTCCTTGGACTTTCCAGGGGATTCGTGGTATTTTCCGGCTGATTTATGTATTATGTATTATGCATTATGTATTATGTATTATATATTATGTATTGTGTATTATGTATTGTGTATTATGTATTGGTCTGTTGTAAAATGATGTAATTGAAGTGCGATACATGTGATTACCTCTGTATCTCTAGCCCTCCTATGCAGAGTTTGACATCAGCGGCAATGTGCTTGGTCTGGTCTTCAACCAGGGCATGATTTGGTAAGAATGTGGACAAAACCAAAAGCTTCACTTTCATGTCATGTACTTCCTAAAATAAGCATAATATTTTCCATCCAATTACACTCCAGTTTTCTGTAATTGAAGTTCAAGCCTATGATTTGGGAAGGATGCTTTTATACATGCTAGGCCTGCTATACAGGCAGTGTGTCCCAAAGCATTTGCATTGTCATTGCCAGCATGTGACGTCATGTGACGTGTTTCTTTCAGATCGGACAGTGGGCCATTTCGGAGCATGTTGTGCCCCACCCTTAGACATGACTCTCTTTCTGTGCAGGATGGTCGCTGCCCCACCCTTAGACGTGACTCTCTTTCTGTGCAGGATGGGCGCTGCCCCACCCTTAGACGTGACTCTCTTTCTGTGCAGGATGGGTGCTGCCCCACCCTTAGACGTGACTCTCTTTCTGTGCAGGATGGGGGCTGCCCCACCCTTAGACGTGACTTTCTTTCTGTGCAGGATGGTCGCTGCCTCACCTTTAGACGTGACTCTCTTTCTGTGCAGGATGGGCGCTGCCCCACCCTTAGACGTGACTTTCTTTCTGTGCAGGATGGGCGCTGCCCCACCCTTAGACGTGACTCTCTTTCTGTGCAGGATGGTCGCTGCCTCACCCTTAGACGTGACTTTCTTTCTGTGCAGGATGGGCGCTGCCCCACCCTTAGACGTGACTTTCTTTCTGTGCAGGATGGGGGCTGCCCCACCCTTAGACGTGACTCTCTTTCTGTGCAGGATGGTCGCTGCCTCACCCTTAGACGTGACTTTCTTTCTGTGCAGGATGGGGGCTGCCCCACCCTTAGACGTGACTCTCTTTCT